CCTACACCCCCTCCCTATCCCTGTTACCCCCTCCAGCCCCCTACACCACCTCCCTATCCCTGTTACCCCCTCCAGCTGTTACACTCCACCAAGATCTCCTTTTATCTGTATTTGTTTTCGGGTTGTCAGCGTTGCTGGCTGGGCTACTGTTCGTTGCCTGTCCCTAATTGCCCTAGCTAGGGGTGAGCCCACTTATTGGACTCGTGTCTCAGTGTCAAATCTTGTTTGGTGACACTCCCTAGCGGTATTTTACTACATGTGGGAGGCTATAGAAATGCCAGTGGTTGTTGCCTTGAATTCTGACACACGTCTCGAGGGTAAAACAGGCATTGTCTGACCTGGCCTCCACTGGGGAGAGAGAGAGACAGGAGCCAGTGTTCCCCCGCCAACGTCCGTCCCCCTGTCCCCTCCGCACCCCCCCGCCCCCCAGCCGCGTTTTGAGATTGTTTGAAAAGGGGAGCCCTTTGTGCAGATCATATTTGTAGCATTTAGCTGAGTTAGTCACATTTGCATTTATTTGTGTCTCGTTCTTCAATCTATCGCAGTTAGAGAGCAAGCGAGATGCATTCTCACCTGTACTTCAGCAGTTCTGTACAGACCCGAAGACACCAATCACTGTGATAAGGGGCCTAGCTGGATCTCTCCGTTTGAGTGAGTAATAGTGTGTGCGTGTGCGTGTGTGTAAACAAATGATAAGGAGCGGGAGTAGACCATTCAGCCCCTCGGGCCTGCTCTCCCATCCAGCCAGCTTGTGGCTGATCTGATCAGTGCACCTAATGCTGACAACGTTTCAGCCCCTCACTTACCAAGAATCTGTCCACCTCTGCCCCAACCATGTTCAAGGAATCTGCTTCCGTTTCAGGAAGATTTCCGAATTCTCATGGTCGTCTGTGGGAGAACATTTTGCCTTGTTTCGGTTTTTAAGCAGATGACCCCTGATATTTTTTTAACAAGAGACTTTCTAAAAAGCCCGATGGGTTCCACGGAAAATGGAGTCGGGAACTTAGGGCTTTGTGACTCCATTGGTTGAGGCCCTGATGAAGGCTGGCACTGAGGGAGTGCCACTGTCAGAGGGACTGAGTGACTAAGAAACCAAACTAAGGCCCTGTCTGCCCCTCTTGGGCAACTGTAAATGATCCCACAGCCAATATCTGGACAAAAGGCAGGAGAGGTTTTGTGGGGAATGCGTCTAAAGGTCAGCTTTCCCGCTGCAGCCAATATTTATCCCTCAACCAACCCTGGGAGAAACAGGTGACCTGAGTCCGGGGCACGTTGTTGATTGTGGGATCTTGTTGTGCGCTGCTTAGCTGTCACGTCCCGCCACCACAATTAGGGATGGGGGTGGGGTGTGTTCACATAATGTGACACTTGGCTGGGAAGTGATTTGTGGTTCCCAGAGGTTCGGGTAGGTCACGTTCCATCATTTTTCGGCGTAGCTGGGAGGTCGTCTTGGCGACCCCTGGACTATGGAGGTGAAAGGTCAGCCTGTTTCCTGACCCTGAACTCTGGCCATGGGGCAGGGTGGGCTGGAGTGGGGTGTGGGTGATGGTTTTGACAATAGGATCTCATTCCTCTGTACTGACTCTTCAGCAAAGCCCTGCATTGATATGTCTCCCTCGCCTCTACCATCTAGAGGGACATGGGCGACATACACATGGGGACACCAATCCCCTGCAAGCTCCCCTCCCACTCACCATCTTGACTCGGAAATATATTGTCATTCCATCAGTGTCGCTGGGTCAAAATTCTAGAATTCCCTCCCAATGGGCCTATCTACAGCGTGTTGTCCACATCTCACCACCGCCATCTCCAGGTCAACCAAGGGGGCAGACAATAAATATTGGCCCAGTCAGAGATGCCCGCATCCCGTGGAAGAAATTTGAAAATGGCTCAAGTCCTCCAGGAAGCTGCCGACATCCAGTGCCCCAGAGATCTCGGGCAACTTGAGGCTGCCGAGAGGGGTAACTGCAGGGAAAGGGGGAGAGTGTGAGAAGCAGGCAGGGCCATTCACGGTGTATGCTGTGGGGGAGGGACGTGGTTCCTCAGTGTTCTGCCATTTTGGGAGTGGCATGGTTTGGGCGTGGGGCAGGGTGGATTAAAATTGGCCGGGCTTGGATTTTCTTTGTCTGGATCTGTTTCAAATGCTCTTCTCTTTTTCTCCTGCACCCCTGAAACCACCCCCCCACCTCTCCCCGCAACCCCACAACACACACAAACACCCGTAGATCTGGGCCTTTTCTCAACGAAGACCCTGGTGGAAGCCAATGGGGAGCACACGGTGGAAGTCCGTACACAACTGCAACAGCCCTCAGATGAGAACTGGGACCCTTCGGGAGGCAACCAGACCTGGCCGTGCGAGAGCAGCCGTTCCCACACCACCATTGCCAAGTACGCCCAGTACCAGGCCTCGTCCTTCCAGGAGTCCCTGCAGGTTAGCTCTGCCTACCACCCAGTCCCTGCCCCTCAGACAAGGGCCGGAGGTCATATTGAAGGGTACAGGGTCAGGAATGAGAGGGAGGCTGATTGGCAGTAAAACTTCACAAGGATAATCGCAGAGCTGGGGACAGAACGACCAGGAAAGGCTGAAGAGCCATGGAGCTCTTCCCTCTGGAGGCTGGGTGACCTGATGGTGGTCTTTAAAACGACGGAGGGGCATCAGCAGGGTTGACACGGAGAAGATGCTTCCGCCTTTTTGGGGGAGACCAGGACTCAGGCTGTCCCTAACGAATCCCATTGGGAATTCAGGAGAAACGTCTTCTCCCAGATAGTGGGGGAAAATGCGGAACTCGATCCTGCGGGGAACGGGAGAGGAGAATAGCACCAACACATTGAAGGGGGAAAGCTGGAGAGGGAAAAGAGCAGGAAGATACACCGATAGGGGAGGTGACAAAGTGAGTTGGAGGAGGCATGTGTGGGGCAGGAACACCAGCATGGAACAGATGGGCTGAATGGTCTGTATCTGAGCTGGAAATTCTGTCCCTGCTGATTTAGCGGACTGCATGGGAGGGGGTGAGGTGTTTGTGGTAAGGAGCAAGTTAGAGGGAGGTGCATATTTAGCCAAAAAACATCTTGGGAGCATCGTTAACATGGCGAAATGTTTCAGAGTGGTTCACAGGAAGGTCAGTCAGACAGGACATGATGCTGACGCACGCAAGGAGATGGGCGTTTGGACAGAGAGGTTGGTTTTGAAGGAGAATGATAAATGTTGAAGGAAGAGATTGTGGAGCTCAGGGCCCAGGCAGCTGGATTTGATGGGAATCGGGGTGGGATGGAGGAAGGTGCTCGGGGGACCGGTACTGAAGGCGCGCAGATTATGGCCTGGTCTTTGGACCATGAGACAGGACGGACGACTTAGTGACCCCTTACCCGGTGTCGTTTTTCCGACAGGAAGACAAGGAGAGTGATGAGGATGACGGGGAGCCTGAGCCAGAGAAACGCACTGAAGTCCCGGAGACAGTCCACAGGTACAAGCATCGTATCTAAGGAATGGCCTTGTGTTTCTCACAGTGACCTGGAGACGGGCTTGGGAGGGGCGGTGCGGGGGGGTGGGGGGTGGGGAGGTGGGGTGTGTGGGGAATGTGCTCCCTCCCTCCGGCATTTTGGTTTCTGTACTCCTTTAACGCTCTCTCCTCCTCTGCAGGAATGGACAGAAGGTTCCACTGAAGGTCATCAAGTTCGGGACCAACATCGATCTGTCGGACCCGAAACTGTAAGTGAGCCTTGCTGCCCATCTACGGCTTCTTTTCGTTGTTATGTAATGACGGGGGTGTGGTAGGGGTCAGGAGGATGCTGCACAGTATCAGGCGAGGACAGAGTCAGCCCCAGTGTGACGCCACACTTATTCGATCAGCGAGGTGGTTGCAGAACTTACACTTCTGTTTGATCTTGTTTGTATCAGGAATTTGCTGACAGGGTGCACCCTGTATCAGACACCCAGTGTCCCAAGCAGCACTCCCAGGACAGGGACAGCACGGGGTTAGATACAGAGTAAAGCTCCCTCTACACTGTCCCCCATCAAACACTCCCAAACAGGGACAGCACGGGGTTAGATACAGAGTAAAGCCCTCGCTACACTGTCCCCCATCAAACACTGCCAGGACAGGGACAGCACAGGGTTAGATACAGAGTAAAGCTCCCTCTACACTGTCCTCATCAAACACTGCCAGGACAGGGACAGCACAGGGTTAGATACAGAGTAAAGCTCCCTCTACACTGTCCCCATCAAACACTGCCAGGACAGGGACAGCATGGGGTTAGAAACGGGTGGTAAATTGCCCAGAGCACTCTGATTAATGCCATTGTTAATGCTGTATGTCTCTCTCTCACCCCATTTCTCTCTGTTCCTCCTGACCAGCTGGAAGCCGCAGTTACAGGAGCTGCTGAAATTACCAGCATTCATGCGCGTCTCGTCAAACGGGAACATGTTGAGCCATGTGGGACATACCATCTACGGCATGAACACTGTGCAGCTCTATATGAAAGTTCCGGGTAGCCGAACTCCAGGTGAGGCAGTCTACCGGACACCCTGCCCCTCTTCCCCACAGATCCATTCCCTCACTCCTTCCCCTTTTCCCCCTTAAAGTTTCTAACAGGTCTGTGTGTATTTATAAGGTGGTTCAATTTGGTGTATTTAGGTTTTTAGAAGGTGTCACACAAAGGGCTCAAGCTCACCATCTTAGTGGGGATGTGGGGTAGCACGGTGGCTCAGTGGTTAGCACTGCTGCCTCAGCACCAGGGACCCGGGTTCGATTCCACCCTCGAGTGACTGTCTGTGTGGAGTTTGCACATTCTCCCTGTGTCTGCGTGGGTTTCCTCCGGGTGCTCTGGTTTCCTCCCACAGTCCAAAGATGTGCATGTTAGGGTGGATTGGCCACGATAAATTGCCAAAAGTGTTCAGGGATGTGTAGATAAGTTTGGGTGGGATGCTCTGTGTGTCGGTGTGGGACCGAAGGGCCTGTTTCCACACTGTAGGGATTCTATGATTCTATAAAGTGTCAGCTTGGATAGAGGATGGACTGGCCACCCCAAACAGAGAATTAGAATCAATCATTAGTTTTCAGGTTGGAGCGTTGGTGCCTCAACTGTTTAAGATCCACATTCGAGCCTTGGATGAATACACCAGTTCGATTGTAGCTAAACTTGCTTACAGTGTAAAGACCAGGTGGGATAGCAAGTTACACAGAGTATACAAAATCCCTGAAAAGGGGTATTACGTAGAGTCAGTGAGTGGGCAATTGACAGGTGGAAAATAATGTAGGAAAACGAGAGTTTTGTTCATTTCGGCGTAAGGAATGGAAAAGCAGAGTATTATCAATGCAGACCCTGAAATGCTGTATTACAGAGGGATCTGGGTGTCCTTGTAAATTAATCAAAAGAACCGTCAACATGTACATCAGTTAGGAAGATAAGTGACCTCGTTTGCAAGGGGGGATGTAGTGTAAAAGTTGGGAAGTCTTGCTACAGTAGTGTAGAGCCTCACTGAAAGTGCCCCAGGAATACTGTTCCGCTCTTAACTTGAAGGGCTGAATCCTGGGCGAAAGAGGAGAGTTTGGGTATGTATTGTTCAGAATTTAAAAGAATGGAAGTTGAAACAGAGAAGGTACTGACAGGCTGAGGACGTTTTCCCCCCTCATAGGGGCATCTGGAGTGGGAGGGTCGGTGTGAGGGGCCTGCAGTTTAAATGTAAGGAGTCTTTAAGATGTGATGAGTTTTTTTCCCTCGGTGTTGGGAATTCACTTGCCCCTAGAGGGCAGTAGAGGCTGGATCATTGCATACATTTAAGGCCGAGTAAGACAGATCGATGAGAGTTTGAGTTTGGGAACAGACACGGAAAAGTACGACGGAGCCCACAGCCAGGTCAGCCTTGAACTGACTGAATACTGGAGTAGACTGGAGGGTGTGAATAACCTCCGCCTGCTCCTAATTTATCTGATTCTCATCCCCTTCTCCTTTTTCCATTCGGCTGTTTTACTGATGTCCTTGTGCTTTGTACAAAGAAAGGTTTTAAAAGGCTATAACGAGGTGATTCGATGGGAGTGTGTAGATGTGAGGTTGCTCGGCCGTTTGAAATGTGTCTCACTCTGTCCCCTCTCCTGCACAGGCCACCAGGAGAATAACAATTTCTGTTCAGTGAATATTAACATCGGTCCTGGGGACTGCGAGTGGTTTGCTGTACCAGAGGCTTACTGGGAAACCATCAGTGAGTTTTGTGACAGGTAACTCACCCTCTGTGCTGTCCTCACTGGGGAGGGCTGTGGGAGGTGCGCATTGAAGTCTCAAACATGCCATGCTGTCACTCACAGTACAATCATTGTAACGTGGCAGGTTTGGCCCATCTGGACCATGCCTGCTCTCTATACACCATTCCAGTCAGTCCCATTCTTCGCCGTATCTCTCTCCCTTTCTCTCTCTCACTTACTCACACTCACTCACTCACTTACTCTCTCTCACTCACGCACTCACTCACAGACACACACACACTCAGACATGCACACGCGCAGACACGCCTCCACACACCCCCCACCTTGAACAAATCTCCCTCATTTCTCTGCACTCTGAGGAGAACAAGCCCAGCTTTCTGAACCCAGCCTCTTGCTACAATACCGTTGTTTTAGAATTCCTATAATGCAGAAAGAGGCTGTTCGGCAATGGAATCTGCACCCAGCATATATGTGCAGTTGTCATGGCTAACTCACCTGGTCTGCACATCCTGCACACCACAGGCAATTTAGCACGGCTATTCCATCTAACCTGCACATCTTTGGACTGTGGGTGGAAACCCCAGCAGGCACAGTGAGAACAAACTGCATACAGTATCATCCCTGGAACCACTTGTGGAAGTCTCCTCCGCACCCTCGCTCATGTTCTCAGGGAGCATTGCACTGTCGGAGGGTCAGCGCTGAGGGAGCGTCGCACTGTCAGAGGGTCAGCGCTG